AATGTTAGATTTTTTTATTAAACACCGTTTTCTTCATGTTCCACGACTTTGTGATGGACCAAATGAATGTAGCCTTCGCAATATTGATTTAATCAGGTAATAGCTTGCTTAACTCGGTTCTGATAGTTTTGCCTCCACTCGCGAGGAGACCGGGGGTCTCTTCTCCCGGAAATTCATCTGGTTTTGCATAGGGGGAAGTGTAACCATTTGTGAATCACATGAGGTCCAATGACCGAGGTCGCGACCGATTACGAATCATACAACCAGTAAATTCGCGTTCAACTCAGTTACTTGTGAGTAGTGCGATGTGTTGAACCGATTATCCTTCGACTTCGCCGTCACGCACAATTCTCAGTTCGTCCAGTTAACTATACACTCGAGCCTAGTAGGTTTGAGGGAAGTCAGCCCGTTAATTGCATGACGGTCCTAACTTGGTGAGAGGCTTTCGATTGGAGTTAACAGATAGTCAACTGTGTCCCCATTCGTTGTTTTCAGGTCAACTGACTGACTATGATTGAAGACGACACATGAACAAGCATTAATTGACAAATCGGTTCAGTCCTGACATGAGATAGTTGGCACAATGGTGTAACACACACGCCTTCCATGCGATGGGTCCGGAGTTCAAAATTCGGACAATGCGACGTGGGTATGCACTACTGATGAGCTCTAATAAGAATGAAACCCGAGTCTATGATTGACTGGATGTGCGTGAAAGTGACGTCCGACGGATAAACAGTTCAAATAAAAACGGGTAAATTATTGCACTTCTTTTCGGCGTCTCCTACATCAATCCACCTGATCGAGAAAGGACTGCGGATCAAGGTAATTCGAAATACGCTCTGCACAATGTAGCCCTAGTAAAACCGGGAAAAAAGGGGAGAAAACAAATGCACCAGAGTCACATCTCCCCCAATCCTTAGAAAGAGTTGTGCAATGCTGCATAGATAACCGTGCCCGAACGACGAGTCGGATCAATGAAGTATACACTGGACTCCTCGCAAATACGTGGATGCCTTCGCGCGACCTGGGAGAGCTTAAGAGCAGATGTGAAATGTTCAACTCATAATTGCATGCACGCCGATACTGCTATCGTATAGTTAATTACCTGAAGGATTGAATAATAAGTGGAATTTGTGCGTCCGATACGTGACACTTCTCGAATTCAATTCCAGATCGACGCAAAACGAGACGTCGAATTGGAACAGCGGAATAGGAATGCGATGAAAAAATTAGTCCAGTAGTGGTAAAGACCATGTATGAAAGTTACATTTCACGGACGCGCATCAAACGGGATGACTGAAAACACAATGCGTCATCGTTTGGACTTCTTGCACTCGCCAAGACAGGTCTTCAATTCGGTTATTTGTCCTGAAATTTGATCAAAAACACGGAACGAATGAGTAAAAGTCATATCGGAAATAGGGGATGAATAGGCTGAACGAATAAGACAAACCCCCACGTACGTACGTTCACAAGTGTTTAAAGCCAAACCGCGAGTTGTGGGAAGAAAGACATTTCCACCGAGTCGTTCGTAGACACACTAACAAGATCAGATGAGGATCAAGAAGGGAGTACGAACTGGCAACATACATTATTCGGACCGGTTTGGTTCAGTTCATCCAGGAGAACTTCTTTGATGCGTAACTGACATGAAAGACAGTGACTGTGAACAATGAATAGCTAACCTGATGTTGAACAGTCCGTTCTGTGATAGGTCTCACTTCCGTGTGGGACATCTCTCAGCTGGAAATATGAAAATTCGCTGAGGTCAGTTAGACGTAATTCGAATCGAGGTGTATTTGAGCGGAGCATGGAAAAAGAGGAAACTCGTCAGGATGAACAGCACTGTTCCAGTCATTGAGCAACGAGAAGGCATGCAGTCGAGGCAAATGGTTAACGAAACACTATTCATTGGTACTGTTATTTTTTTAGTACACAACGGTGTGTGATGGACAGCAAACGGGTTGGAACTTCGGAGTCACGAAGACCGATTGTTCAGTCATGGAAACCGGCAGATTCCACCCCAAGTGGCGAACCGCATACCCACTAGGTCAGGCGTGGTATAGAACCAGGCGACAACAAAGCTGTTAACCACCAAAGTTGGGTGGTGGTGGCACGGTACGGACATCGGACCTCAGGGTCCAAAACACGCTAGTGACAGCAACTTAAGCACTGCACCACCACTGTTGAAGGATTCAAAACACCGTGGTAAATTGAAATAACCCTAAAACTGACCGTCAACTGTTGAGNGGGGGGGGGGGGGAAGGGGACCGAAAAACAATGCACACTCCCGATATAGAGTCCTAACACTGACGAAACAGATAGTGTAATATTTTTCCATCCAAACATTCACGTATACTACACTTTCCTGAATGAATTTTAGTGGACCATTAGATGAGTTATCAAAAACCAACTGTTTGCCTGTAAACACGAACTCAAATTCTGGAAAATATCGAATTGAGCTCTGTCATAATTAACACCTCCTGTAACGTTTCCTCCTATTGATAAAGAATCACACATTGCCAGTGGAAAAGAAAGTTACAAAAGGAACCTGTGACTAGGCTCACGGTCGATTATGAGCAGTCACGTGATATGAACATGATTTTGATTAGACATCCTCCAGAATTTATCTTCTTGCACCATGGTCCGCTCGTCCAATTGACTACACGCAGGTGCAGACGCGGACCTAGCGGCGATGCATAGTTCTCGGTTTGTTATGTATTTCAACCCTGGATCACGCTCGTGGAAAACGCGTGGTAGTACTGCCACAAGCTGAATACAGATTGGGGCTTGCCAGAATCAATGAGTTGGGTTTGTTTATGTCATCTTTGGTTAACAAACTAACTTCAAAAGGAACTTTTGAAGCTACATTTTGGTCACAGAAAAACCATGAACAGGCTTCCGGGTAATTTTAAGTATTTGGTTGCTGAGATATATGTACCGTTGATCGATTATTTTTATGAATAGGTCCGCGAAAGAGATTCAGGATAAATTCTGCCTTCTTGTTGAGCAAATAAGGAAGCGATGTTCTTGTGATCTTCGTGGGCAACTTTTTACTCACGTTGTGTCCAACGGACCAAAATGTCATCAAACGTGATTTGCAGAGGTTTGATATTCCATTCATGGCTACAATTATTCACATATCTGAGCGACCGAAATAAACACAATGCCTAAAAAGTTGAAACCCTTTTTGCGGGAGAAAACACAACCAGAACCATTGCGGGGAAACACGCGAATCCAGCAGTGAATGATATACCTAACGGCGTGCTCGTGGCCAGTTTACTAATGTTCGCCTCGGCTTCACGCAGTTGCACCGGAAATGCGATACCAGCGTTGCCTGCTCGAGGGTGCATCGCTACTCTCTACACAATCCGGTGTGACCTGCAGGTCAACAAGGGGTAGTGGCGTGCATGGATTCAGACTACCTTACTACTCATTGAATCAAGAATATAATTGGATAAGATTGAAACTCACTGGGTTCCGTGGAACCTTGCCAACAGAAACCTAACAAATACGGCTGAATGATATGTGCACCAGGTGTTAGCTTGAAGCAACTTTTCAGTTTCTATTTGCAGAATCATTAACAATACACTTTCGTGCACCGGCTTTGATTGTTGTCTTTTGGCTGCAAAAGGCATAGATAAGCGAAAGGAAGATAGAGAATCCATATAGAATGAGGTTACAAGAATGATAAGTAGATGCACGAGCGCTACGGTTTGCGACACTCAGTCATATCACTCGATGTATCTAACGATCGGTGACGATAATCCCGGGGTCCACATCCAGGAAGCCTGGTGGAACATATGTGACCCAGTACCCTCATGCCAGGTCTTTGTTTGACCACACTTGACTTTTTTTCCACCCACTATCTGCCTCGGCAAACATCGCTCACCGTGGCAACCTATTTGGTGAAATGCGTAACACGTGCCTCAAAGAACGTAATCTACGGGGGTCCAATTGCTACCGTGGAGGACTGCGGTTACCTAAAACTCTGCATTGCTTGCCCGGTTTCCCACCAGACTCGAGCAATGCGATGTAGACAGAGGCGTTCAAACACTGATGATTTATTATTATCCTGTTTTCTTAAAGCACAAGTTTCTGTACCGTATACTAGAACTGACCAAACTACCGTGGTATACACTCGAGCCTTCACGGACAGCCGAATGTCTCAAGATGGCCAATGCAAAAAAACGAGCCTTGTGTATGCGACCAACGGGTGAGATATAGTTACTCAAATAACAAAACTTGTCCACTTGCTCTATTACTTGATCAGTTAGAGTAAGGTTAGGTGTTGGACTAAACAAGCCTTGCAGCACCATTTTACACTTTGAAGATGAAAAACGCATACCGAACATGGCAACGCTGTCATTCAAGCTATCTGGGAAAGCTTGCAATTGACCCGGATCTGAACTGGGCACTTGAAATGAAACAGAGTCGGTTCAAAAAGCAGCGTGAGTCTGTCAATTTAGACCGGAGCGCAGAGATCAATCCAACCGGGTCCCAGTCTAAACTCGTCAGAGTACATGCTAGTGCAATATCAGGAAAGGTGGCCACTTCTCGGCTATCACGACGAACAAGACTAACGGAATAACAGAAATTTTGTTAATTTGCTCTTGATAAAAGCAAATCACCGTAATGTTTTCTACTTTCAGTTGAAACCACTCAATCAATTACAACAATACAACAATTGTGGGTCGGATTATTCAGAATAAATCAAAACAATCAACGGTATTGTATAAGTTATTTCTGTGGTTGTTGCTTTCGTCCCGCATCAAATTGATTGCCATGAAAGAAAAAGAGTTATGTATAAAAAATCACTCAAATGGAGGTCATGAGAACGAAGTAGTAAGAAATTCAGGAAAGACCGTTTTGATTGCAAGATTTAAATGCAACTGAGAAACAAAAAAGAATGGAACGGGGGTAGGGTGGGGTGGAATGTCATTGAATTCTGTCGTAATTTCAAAAGAAAAACAGTTACTGGAAATTCAGGTCAGAAAATGTACAAATGGGGTCTTCTAGTTCACGGATCAGATTCAAGCAAACTCTCACAGGACGGTCGATTGTGTGCGACACCGTTCGACTCGGTCGATCTGGTTATATCTGAAAATGATAAGCCGGATCGAATATCACCTAGATCGGTTGATAAAATATCCGCACTTCGGGTGAACAATGCTCGTCTCGTCATATTAACCGCACGTCGTCGAACCTCGACCGCTGCTGTGGACATACTACTCGTTCGGGGAGAAGTGGACGACAGTGCTGTAGTCAGTTTTGCAACTGAGTCAGCGGAAGATCCCGGCGCGATTGACGGTGTGCTTGTGCCACCAGCGACCTCGGTACCGACGGACGGTGGACGTTCCACACGTTCTCCCCGTCGTGGTTTAATTGATCTGAAAATAAGTAATGGGCGAAAATTTGCTAACAATACCGGAGAGGGGGGAGGTGTCAGCTACGCCGGCCCCGAAAGAAAATAAAAAGATAATTGGGCGGAAAGAGGATAATTCCGAAAAAAAGTTGTGATCAATTACTGATATGCACATTAAGTGAACACGGCACGCCACCAACCAACCAGCCACGTGTGAAAAAATAGAGGTGATCTTCTGGAGTTATGAAACAGTATTTGTCTTGAAAGGATTACCATTTTTCGTGGCTTTCACGCAAGCGAGTACAGAGATCAAAGGCCTGACAAAACTAGCGAACAGAGAAATAATTGTAAACAAGGATGAGTACCGGTTATCAATTAGGGTTAACCGAGGACGAGGGAAGATGAAAACCTCTACAAAACAAAACAAAACACAGATAAGAAGCAATCGGTACTACTCCTAACGAGACCGGAATCGGTATAAGAGATCGGACAAGCGATCAAGCAAGAAGATTGCAATGAGACAAGCGGTGCGAACGAGCTGTAGATGATGGGCTGATCTACTACGACAAATCAGCTTTCGAATAGAATTCGATTCTGCTACGAAATTCAATGAACAAAACTTGTCAGCGAGAAAATGAGCATATTATGATCCGTATTACGATGGATTACATTTTCGGATAAGATTATATTTAAACATATGGTTGGGCATGGTCCAGCCATCAGCTTCGCCATTTCCGGAGGAGATGCGATCTGGCTAAATTAGTCAGTTTTTAATCACTGTATGGTTTCTCAATCGAATTATTCGTTGGACCTCAGAGCATGCCTTATCATCTCAAATCGTCCGTATGCCAAAACTCGATTCTTTTAAACACCCTGTGATATTTCTCATAAATGGGAGTAAACAGAGCAGTTATAGTCTTCTTTTTGTATGGACAATAAATTCATCCGCACTGAAACCCTGGAGAACAAGCATATCCACACATTTGTACAATGGAGAACTGGTTAGTCACGTGGCCTATTGTACCAAGCGATAGTAGAA